TAAATACTAAGTGTCTGTTTGCAGCCGCTTTGTATGTCTGCTTCCCATTAAATGGCCTTTATTAGTAATCAGTCCTATAGAGGCTTCAGATTGTACTTCCTACCTCCCAGTAGGCTCAGTAGGTTGTATCACTAAATTATTCCTAACCCTAAAGTTATTCCTTTTTCCCAGAGAATTGATTAATCTATTTACGTGTAATCTGAAAATAATTTCAGTAGTGCTTCATGCAATGTACAAAACAGAAAGAAAAAAGATCTGCTATTCGTAAACCAAAAGCAAAAGATCTCATATCCTGTCAACTAAGTTGTTTTTGAAACTACATTAAATCCGTGTGACTGAAACTTTAATTCATTCCAAATAAAACTTTAAAACATTGTTGTTTATTTAAATAGGTACATTTTAGATAAACTAGACGAAAACTATAAAGTAGTTAAATAGTAAATATAACATACAGTTTTAGACATGGGCGAAAGGGCTGTTATCAAGATAAACTGCATATTATCAGCCTTAATAAACCTACTAGAAGGTAGAGGAGGCAAAGCCTGAAACCATGTCATGGGACTGGTTGACTGAGCAGTTTTATTTTATATAATGCTTTTTTTCACACACGAGTCTGTGTAATGCTACAAATGTGAAGACGAATAAGGTTGTGGATGCATGTGATAGATTAAGGGGTGCAATAACTCATAAACCAAATTTTTTGAATATGAAAGCTATGCATTAATTTTCTGTGGATTATTGCCGATCCCCTGACTTAATCAGGAAAGGAAACAACGTGGTTTACTGAAGAAAAACTGCTCCTGACCAGGTTAGCTCTAGAGAGAATGTTACTACAACAACAGACACGGGTCTGTCTGTTGTTGTTGTAACGGAAACTCTCTTTGTGAAACGGAGAAGTAGAATTTCTCTGATTTCAGGTTTAGAAAACATAATTTTCAGTAAACCTGCTTTTTGAAACTGACTCTACTGGATTGGAGGCATTAACTTATTTGTCTTTCCTGATGGTCATAAACATGTCAGATCTGGAAAATATGTAGGCAGATAAAATGAGGTTGAATATATTCTTTATATTTACTTCAATTCAGTTTATTTCTATAGCTCCAATTCACATCATGTCATCTCAGGTCACTTTCCAGTTCACCAGATCATCCAGTCAGATTGATTCAAAGTTTTCTATCTAAGGAAAACCAGCTGATTGCATCGACTCATTGACTCTTCAGCAATCCCTCACACTAAGCATGCTTTTAGCGACAGTGGAGAGGAAAAACTCCCTTTGAACAGGAAGAAACCTCCAGCAGAACCAGGCTCAGTGTGAGCGGCCATCTGCTGAGGCCCACTGGGGTTCAAGGAGACAGAAGCAGTCACAGTCAGAGAAACAGGACTACACTGGAAAACAGGCCAAGCTCCAACATCTAGAAACAAAGGTGTTGATGGCAGCAGCACAGCTGATATTTCTCTCCAGGATGGAGTCACAGCCAAACAGGAACAGACCAGATGAAGCTACTATGAGAAAAAGCAGAGAGAGCAGAACGTTAGAGATTGAACTAACAGATTCTGCAGAGTGGGAGAATAGAGATAGAATGAAGCAGAATGATGAAAAAGGGGTCCCTATGTCCTCCAGCAGTCTAAGCCTATAGCAGCATAACTATAGAGATAGCTCAGGATAACCTGAGCCACTCTAACTAGAAGCTTTATCAAAAAGGAAAGTTTTAAGCCTAGCCTTAAAAGTAGACAGGGTGTCTGCCTCACGGACTAAAACTGGTAGTTGGTTCCACAGGAGAGGAGCCTGAGAACTAAAAGATCTGCCTCCCATTCTACTTTTAGAAATTCTAAACCATTTACTCTAACCAAAATCTAATGATCTATTCTGACTCTTTAAAAAATATTTATATTAATGTTAGTATTTGAGCTGGATGTTAGATTCTTATCATTTGCTTTATTTAAAGTAGCTACTGTATGCAACTGCTGTAGGCAGAGCAGCTTCTCATTTTGGTGTTTTCAGTCTTTTATCTCTTATTCACATGTTCGTTATCCATTCACTTATTCAGTCCTGTAACAATGAATTAGATGATGGATGGTTTTAACTGAGCAGTTCATGCATCACTGGCTATGGTGTGCTCACTAACAGACAGAGTTCAGCACCAAGTTATTCACCAAGAGGGAATTGTCAGAATTGGATGTAATTTGCAGACGAGCAATGGCAGAGTAAAAGATTCATTTTTCAAGTGCTGTTTAAATTTTCTTTAAAGGAACTCGGGCACTGAAACTGGCTGATGCCCAGGAGCCCGCATCATGGTAAATGTACAGATGTCACAGGTGATCTGAGGGCACCCAGTTAGGGTGGTAAGAGTACACTTCAAATGATCCATCCATCATCCATCCATCATCCATCATTCATCCATTCATCCATCCATTCATCCATCCATCCATCATCCATCCATCCATCCATCCATCCATCCATCCATCTTCTTCCACTTATCCGGGGTCGGGTCACGGGGGTAGCAGCTTCAGTAGGGAGGCCCAGATTTCCCTCTCCATAGCCACTCCTCTGGGGGAACCCCAAGGCGCTCCCAGGCCAGCTGAGAAACGGTTCTACGGTTCTGAGCAGCGGTTCTACTCTGTATGACTGAGCTCCTCCCCCTATCTCTAAGGGAGAGCCCAGACACACTACGGAGAAAACTCATTTCAGCCTCTTGGATCAGGGATGTCGTTCTTTCGTTCATGACCCAAAGCTCATGACCATAGATGAGTGTAGGAACGTAGATCGACCGGTGAATTAAGAACTTTGCTTCTGGCTCAGCTCTCTCTTCACCACAACAGACCGGTACAGCGCACTAGTAGATGCTTCACAGCGGATGCTGCACCAATCTGCCTGTCGATCTCCCGCTCCATCTTCCCCTCATTCATGAAGAAGATCCCAAGATACTTCAAAGATACTTGGCTTGAAATGATCCAAATGCACAATCCCCAGTATGAGCCCATTCAAACCCATAAAGTCCCTGAGACTGTTGAGGATTCCCCAATGCTCTTACAGGAGCCTGTTATATCATTGCTTTCCTTATGCTGTAATCATGTATGCACCCTGCTGATGTCTGAAACTCACTGATTGTGGCTAACGCACCCAATTAAAACTTTATTCTCAGCCATTATAGTCAAACTATTATTTTATTTTATTTGGGTTTCATGTCTGTATCTGAGTGCTTTACCTTGCATGCTCTGAATTTTCATGATGATCTACCTGCCTTTTTGGAACAAAGCCTTTGCTATATATTGTATGAATATAATCTTTGAAAGAAAGCATTATCCTAAGCGTGTAGAAATTATTCTGTGAGTGGGGAAATAGATGAGACTTTATGAGCATAACCAAGCACATCAATTCCCAAATAGTCAATTTAGGAAATGGATGAGGATGATAGATCAGTTGTAGAAATTGGTGTAAAATGTGTTTCTGCAACATAAGATAGAGATTCACTCATTCAAATGATATCAGTGCGCTGATGTGTTTTAGAAATGTGCTTTTTGTTTGGTTATATATTGTGACCTTATGTTCAGAAATTCATGTTTCCTTCTGCTTCAGACTCTGATTAAATCACTCAGAGTAACAAACTGGTTTGTTTTATTCTCACAGTCCCACTCATCTTCAGCAGGAATGTTTCCTCATACAGTCATATTTACATGGAACATGTTACCGAATTAAATTATAAAAGTGCTTTGAAATATTGAATTTACGATAGTTTTGAAGAGACAGTTCTCAAAATATACAGTTATATACGTCTAAATATAGAAATTCTAGTACATATTTACATATATAGATATATGGGGATTTCCTTGTAAAATAATCTTTCATAATACGACTTTATAATCTATGAACTTTATTGGGTTTTATTCTTTTATTATTTTACTTTAGCTGTCTCCTTTTGTTTAAGTTGAATGATCCTCAGGAAGAGAAGCAGGGAGCTGCAGCTAATGGAAATCAGGAAGAACGAAAGAGTCTTGAGATAATGTGCTGCATAAATAAAATGGAATTAAAAATGGATGCACACAGAGCAATGTACTTGCCATGTGTCCAACCAGGCTTTTATACAAGCACCATTTCATGCATAGTAATCACTACAGTCCAATCTAGTGGAATCTATTGCATCATGCATACAGAAAAATACCATTTGTTGATTGTTGCATTGCTGCGATAGATGGAGACCTGTCCAGATGGACCCCGCCTCCCGCCAGTAGACAGCTGCAGATAGACACCAGCACCCCTCGTGACCCCACTTGGGATTAAGTGTGTCAGAAAATGGATGGATGGATGGATTCTCGCATTGGAAGAAAAAAGTCAGTGAAATCAAGATGGCTGACATACAGGGGGGAAAACACCTGGGCTATTTCAGTTTCTACAGGGAAGCAGAATAAAGGCAGAAAAAATAATTCAAACTTTAGTGTTTTACCTAACTTTTTACATATCCATAGGAATGTAAAACATTATATATCTATGAATGTGTAAAACAAAGGAACCTTTTTAGCATAATTTATGCATGCAGGGGAAGGGATTTACCATCAGGTAAATACTAGGCCCCATAAAACTCTGTAACCATATATGGTTAATTCAACTATTCCTTATTTGTTCACAATAATTATGTTTTTTTTTATCCTTTCGCTAAAATGCCATCAGAATTCTTATAATATTAAGTGTGTCTCATGCCCTGCATCAGAGTGCAGAGGGGTCCCTGAAGTGGCCCCTGCATGCATGAGAGGTTTGAAAAAAATACACCAAGTTATTTAGGTAGTCTCTCTGAAGAAACCTTTAACCTTGGAAATGAGAAGTATTCTACCATAAACTCTGCAACAGGAGCAGGAATGAAAGGTTCTGATTCCTCATCAACTGTTTAAGCGTCTCTTTCCTTTTTATTTGCCAAAAATAAAAGGAGGTTCAAAACCCTTTGAGTGGCGTAACGTTCAGGTCAGCGGGGATATGTCGCCCCCTGTCGGCGTGTTCCGGCATTGCTTGCCCAATTTAGCCTGCCGCTGTCAGTCCTGTGGAATGTGAGATGCACATTATGCAGACCCCCAAGAAAAGGTCCAGTCTGCGGTCACCAGAAGCGCTGCGCTCTGTTTCAACAAAGCAGACATTTTCCTTCGCCCTGCAGACTTTAACGCCTTAAAACACTCGGTAAGAAAGCTCGCTTTCTCACATTGTCCTTTGTAAAGCGTTTAGAAAGTTGCAGGCTGGGGGGTGGGGTGTGTGTGGGGGGGGGTCTGTGCAGAACCGTTTCCGATTCTATTTTTACATGGGAGCCTCTGCAGCCTCTGCTGGGAGCATGCAAAGGAAAGACAGGCTGCAGCTGTTCCAGCTTCACATGATGGGATGGTTTAGGTCTGCTGTTGACTTCATTTCAAATTATTATGGTCTTTAAAACTGTTAATAAGAAATCTTTTAACATCAAAATGCTTTGTGCTTTTTCCCTATAAGATATCTGTTTTTTATTCTATTTATTTATTTATTTATGTATTTATTCAAACTGGGTGTTTTTAAACATTATTAAATTAACAGTTTTGATTTAATAATTAATGTGCACAAATAAGGAATAGTGGTATTAACTATACATGCAAACAGAGTTTTATGGGGCCCTCAGGTACTTGGGGCCCTAGGCAACTGCCTGGTATTGCCTAATGGTAAATCCCCCCCCTCAGATTTATTACATGTTCATGGCACAAACGCTCTGCTTTCGCTTTTCTTAGCATGATTATCAGGAGCAGCAACAGTTCTAGACAAAGTTTGCCGGGGGGCCAGGGTGGGGGGCGCTGTTTTTAATGGGGACACAGAACAAGAATAATAATGATGATGAAAACCTGGTTTTATCTTAATATGGCTGAAGTTTTAAGGTGACTGCATTTCTTAAAGTCAATTGTAAAGGTGAATGATTAAATTGGTCCAAGTCAATTATCATCGGTTACACGCTGCAAAATTTGTCCGTCTGATCTAAATATATGGAGATTGATCCACTAAGCAAGAGATGATAAATTAAAAGAAGTGCAACAATCTGCCCATGCAGTGAGGCAAATGCACTTTGCAAGACTTCTTGAAATCATGATAGTCTCATAACAGAAAGTTCAAATCAACTCAAAACAAGATCTAAGATGTGAGTGCAGTCCATTCTGTCAATGGATAGAATCATATGACTTATTTAGGTTGACACAGCAAAAGTAATCTAAACTGTAAAAACTTCTTAAAATAAGATTCTTGCTGAAGAAAATTGTATTTTCCCCTGAAAATAAGATAATTATATATAAACTACTTGAAATAAGACGATTGATTTTAACTGAAATCATCTTATTGGTAAATTGTCTGACCTACCTGCTCAAATTGAAGCAAAATTAACCCCTTTTCGAGAAAATGGACTATTGTCGATTTTGTCTTATATGTCTATTTTTTGTAGTGTATGTTTTAAGTACAGGGACCATAACAGGGGCCAGGATCAGTTCTCCAGGGGCGCTGGCCCCTGTTGGCCCCTGCCTAGAACCGCCTATGATCAGGAGGCTAAGGAAAAAAAAAAAGATGCTCAGAGCTGCTGTTGTTTCAACTGAAGAGAGGAGGGAGTCTGAAGTATCAGAGAAACAGGAAACTATCATCCAGCATTTATTCCTGCAGCTCGACTTCTTTCTCTGATCATTTTCTGTAGCCGAGCTCTGCTCCTCTGACTGAACCTGCATCAGGATGTCTGCTTCACCTGATCCAAGCTCCTTCTTCACCATCCTGCCCACGTTAAGCTCGTCCGCTCCAGGGGTTCCAGCTGTGGAGGCCAATGCCACGTCCTGCCAGGAGTGGGAAAAGGCTCACCACATGATTTTCCATTTTGGGAACTTATCCCTGCTCCTGGGTTTGGTCATTCCAACAACTCTGGGGCTGCACATGATCCTGCTGCGCCTCCTCCTGATGACAGGTCAGCAACACCAAAGCCCCCCCCCCATACACACACACAAACATCCTCACCCTCTCAAAGGCATTTCACTGATAATATAGTTTAAACACAAGAAAGACATGGACTTATTGCCATCTTGTATTCCAAACAAAAGTGCAAAATAACTTTAAAACAGTAAAAGGAAAATGCATATTTTTCAATATTTTGTTTAAGTGTCTTATTTCACTTTTTGTCAGAAAAGGGATCTCATCACTCGGAGTAAGACCTTAAAAGGCTCTGAATGTGTCAGCGACACGCTGGAGAGGGTGGGAGAGTGGAAAAAGTTTTTCCAGTTTGTTTATCTTCTTCCTGGATGGAGTGGAGACAGGAAGCAGCGGGAATTATGGGAAATGGGGTTTTGATTTTATTTATTTATTTCACAGTTCATTGTGAAAATCACATCTTGTTTTAGATGGTTTATTGAAGGTTTTTAAAGGTGAAATAGAAAAATATTTGAATATAACAGGACTGAAGCAGATATTTTCAAATGCAAAATTCTGGAAACATCGATTTTGTAGGATTAAACTGGACCATCATGCAGCAACATAGCTGCGTTGTTGCATGATGTGGCAGGAGGAACGATTCAGGATTGTCTGCACCTTCGATCGCCTGACTATCTGCATGTCTCATAAAAGCGCTCTTGCTTATAATCTCAATGTCAGTGCATTCACACAGCTCTTCAATTGTATAGAAATATGTGTGAAGTTTTAATGCTTCTTTTAAAATGATTAGACTTAAGTTTTGATCAATAAATGACAACCACTAGGTAAAAAAGGTAAAGCCCCCATTCTCTAGAAGCTTAGCTTTGTACATACATCAACTAGTGATGCAACCTGGACACATCATCAGTGATGTTACCTGGTATCCTAGAGCGTTTCGGGTCTTTCAAACATAAAAAAAAGACCCTTTAAAAAACTTTAAAAAAGAACTTAAAAATATTTCAGTCTGAGCAACTATTCATTGTTTTCCACTTTAACTTAATGGCAGATGGCCGCTCACACTGAGCCTGGTTCTGCTGGAGGTTTCTTCCTGTTCAAAGGGAGTTTTTCCTCTCCACTGTCGCTACAAGCATGCTTAGTGTGAGGGATTGCTGAAGAGTCAATGAGTCGATGCAATCAGCTGGTTTTCCTTAGATAGAAAACTTTGACTCAATCTGACGGGATGATCTGGTGAACTGGAAAGTGACCTGAGATGACATGTTGTGAATTGGCGCTATAGAAATGAACTGGATTGAATTTTAAAGTGTGACTTTTCTTTGACAGGATGCAGTCTCTTCATTGCTTGGGCCACTTTGTATCGTTGCAATCTTGATGTGATGGTTTGGAACGTGGTTTTCCTGGTGGTCAACTTCATGCATATATTCTTTCTTCTGTACAAGCGCAGGCCGGTAAGTTCTGCATCACCATACCCTTCTCTCTTATTTTGCCATATTTTGTTTGGAAGGTTTCTTTATATACTTCCTACAGCAGTTGGGCAACAGTATGCACATTAAGGCTGAGTTTTTTTCAATTACTATCCAGACTAGAAAGCAACATACCCTTCGGAGTTTAGCCCAATGCATACAGGATGCATTGGGCTAAACAGGCAGCATCGGCTTTATTACCGATTCCATTTCTCCTCAAAGGGGAGATTATGCAATTGATCATAGTCAAAATATGACCAACTGAAGTGATTTCCTTGAATTAAAGCTTTGACTTTGCTCTCTCAGGTTAAGATTGACAGGGAGCTGCGGTCTGTCTACAAGCGGATGTTTGAGCCTCTCCATGTTCAGGAGGCTTTGTTCCAGAGACTAACAGGACAGTTCTGCACCATCCAGACTCTGAAGAAAGGCCAAGCCTACGCTGCTGAGGACAAGACCTCTGTGGATGAACGCCTCAGCATTCTGCTAAAAGGAAAGTATGTGTTGTTTTTATGGCTGGTTACAGCCTTTCACACTTAATCCCAAACTTCAACAACTGTGAAAGTTTGGTTGCCTTCAAATTCAGCCACACAGCTTCATTGATATTCTTCTTCCTGAAGTTTTCTGAAGTCTAAGGCTAAATGTTCCTGTGATTTGCTCAGTATGTCCAGGAGCAGACTTTTTCTTTGCTAGTTACACGCTGCTAATCAAATGATTTCATATCATCTCAGAATAGACAACTGACTTACAAATGGCTGCACTCAATAAATCACTGCATGGTATAGCAATGTTTTTCACATAGAAAATACTGACATTACAGTCTGTTTTTAGCTAATGGCTCCTGTCCTGTATAATTACATTTTTGTTAAGTTGCTTGAAAAGCATTATTTTTCAATTATATCTACTTCACGGCCAGTTGAAACCTGTAAATGTGCAAAGTAGTGATGGTTAATGAGGCATCTTGAAGCCAAACTGTATTGATGCTGCCTTGATACTGCCTCACACAATACTGACACCTGCTGGACATTTAAAGACACTACAGGCAGCTTATTGGAAAGACTACACTGAATTGATTTGATGATCTAGAACAATGATATGATTTAAGTTATTGTAGGTTATATTGTATTATTTCATATCCATGTTTAAACTGAGAAGATCTTTGATATATTTAGATTTTTAGATCATATATCATAATGTGAAAATTTAGGGGAAAATGTAAATGAGGATGCTGCTGGACTAGGATTTTAAATCATATTTTTAAAACAATGACTACAATGAAAAAAAAAGGAAATAAACTAAGCGTCAGTTTGAATTGAACTTTAATTCAGTTAAGTTGAATGATAACTTAGAGGAAAAGAATGACTCAGCGAGAAAATTCCTTTCAGGCTGCTCCAAAATTCTTGATCATTTTAATGATAAACTGCAAAAGATGAGACATTTTTTGGCGATGCATCATGTTGACAGATATGTTTTTCAACACAGTTTAATGAGTCAATCAGTTAGAAAAAATTCCTGCACCGGTCACATGACTTTCTTAAATAATGACAGGCGCACAGATATGCATGCTCTGACGCATCGACATTGCTGGACACATCACTAGTGCATAGATACCGAGGTTCTAAAATATCTGGCTTACTTTGATTTTTTTTTTTATTGTAAATAGAGCTGAAACAATTAATCAAATATAGAAACTAATTTAGTAATCGATTAATCGTTAACTGGAATATAGAGATTGTAAAACATCCCTTCAGCTGACAGAGCGACACACTTAGAGCAGGAATTATGCCAAGATTGTAAAAACAAATATGTAAACATCTTACATTCAACATAAAGGAAACAGAACTATTCAAGTGGAAAAGTTTTAGTTTCCACCTGGTTTCATTTCGTAAAAAATCTTCTTTAAGGAACTTTTGGCTATCCGATTATTAATCAGTTAATCAACAATATAATCAACAGATTAATTAATTCGTTAAATAATCATTAGTTGCAGCCCTAATTATAAACATTAAACATGATAATCATATCTACCTAAAAATGTTGAAGCTACAAACATGTAGCGATTTTATAATGTATGTATTTATTAATTGATAAAAAAAATAATCTTGTTTAAAGTTCCAATAACAGGAAAGTAATTCAAATTCACTCACATTTGATTTACTTTGCCTGGTAACTTATTCATCTGATTGTCGAATAACGTAGGCAGCCTGAAGTGACCCAAATCTGATTTTTTTCGGACATATCCGACCAGGATCTTATCTTTTCATGGCAGTCTGAACAACAAAGATCCACATTTTTCCAGTACGACCCAGGTCACTTGGATAAGTGGACCACGTTTTTGATTTAAGCTGTTAATTATATTTAGAATCAGAAAATCTGCTTGTTTCTGCATCTGTCGGTTCATATAGAGGTCAAACCCATGGGAAATAAAAAACGTTAACATTTACTGTTGTTATCATTGGTTGAAAAGATTGAACAGAATTGTGAATTCAATGTTTTTGGAACAGGATGAAGGTGTCATATCGAGGTCATTTCCTCCACAACATCTACACCAACTCATTCGTCGATTCTCCAGAGTTCAGATCTACAGAGATGCACAGAGGAGAGAAGTTCCAGGTAAAAATCAGAATGTTAAAGTCTTAGGGACGTCATATTTCAATGTCAAATCATTCTGGCTTAAACATGTATATATATGTACTCTTTATTAGACTATATTGTCCCAAAAGTTAGGAACTTTCTATCAAAAAAAAAAAATCTTAAAATCTGTTTTTTTCCGTTATCTTCTGCAGGCCAGTTAGTTCTACTTCAACCTGAACACCTAAATTTGGCCAATCATATATCAACGGTCATCTGTCAATCAAATGTTTCCGGTCATAGCATCTTGATTCATGTGTCGCAGCTAATATACGCAACGGTTGAAATCAGAATCCTTTCCTTTCCCATTGAGTTGCGTCCCAGTGTTCACGGGGATGGACGTCTGTGTCTTCGGCAGGCGTAGAGCTAACAGAACTGGCAGCGTTGCGAGGCAAGGGCTCAAACATGTACGGCTGGAAGCCTTCTACACCAAACCAAGCTTCTGCCGCCCTGGCGTCCTCTTCCACAACATCTTCGTCCCCGCTTTCCTCCTCTAAATAAAAAATGGATGACGGAGGAGACTCATCCACGACCTCCGACACTAAACTCTCCTCCTCTTGCATGTTTCATAGCGGAGCGACAGCATTGGCTGGATGGAGCTTATTAGCTCCATCCAGCCAATGCTTGGCTTGTTGAACGTCAACTTTCAAAGGATGGGTCAGAATCTGTACTGTTGTGTTCTTCCAACAGGTGACAATAGTGGCAGAAGAGAACTGCAAGTTTCTGTGTTGGTCTCGAGAACGACTCACCTACTTCCTGGAATCAGACACTTTCCTAAATGAGGTGTTCAAGTACCTTATCGGCAAAGACATTACCAACAAACTGTACTCTCTGAATGATCCTACCCTCAGCGATAAGGTGAGAGCAACTCAGTTTATGCAAAGCATGACCTTTTTATGCGTGGAGTTTCAACAGAGCGATCCTGGTGGTTGTTGTGTCCTAAGGCAGTGAAAAAGATTGATCGTCAGCCCAGCATGTGCTCCCAGCTTTCTATGATGCAGATGAGGAACAGCATGGCAAGTACCAGTGACACAGATGATGTGCTTAACCAGATCCTACGAGGAGGATCGGCTGGATCATCGCTCC